TTTGTCTCTTTGAGGACTCTGGGAGGTAGCAAGGGAGTGTGAAACAGCTGTGTACTGCCTTTTGTTCCTGAAGAAGGTATTTAACTGGGAGCCATGTTAGGCTCAAGGAGACTCTGCTGACCGTCTGCCCCGCGGTCATGCAGGCTCTCCACCAACTTTGTTGTCTGTTCTTTGTGTTTTGATTAAAGAATGTTAGCTACAGCTCACCGCTTGTCTGCAGGCTTTATTTAATGAAAAACTTCCACAACAGCATCCACACCTGGGGGGAGCCTGACATGTTCACAGAGAGGTGGAATCTAAGACCCAACCTGGCACATGAACATAGACAAACAGGCACACACAGACACAATCATGCATTCCCACCATCACGCAGACATATACTCATCCAACATGGAGGCACACAGAACTAAACACTGTACACGCACTCATACTCCCCAAAAATACTCTGTACCCCAAGGTCCAGGCACCCCCAGAGGAGCAGTCCACCCCCAGACCCAGGAAATGGTTTCATTTACTCTGGGGTGGAGACAAGCATACTGCCCCCAGTCCTGCAGCAGCAGGAAGGCCCAACAGGCCCAGACCCCAACCAGATGGCCAGCTCCTTCTCCCGCACCCTGCCTGAAATGGCGCACAGAGAATGGGGTTATGAAGACCCCATACCAGGGGCATGGTACCAATGACTCTCTGTCAGATAGCAGCTGGCCTCAGCACGGCCCCTCCTGAGAACCCTCAATGTCTACATGTATTTAAAATTGAGAGGTGGGCACCTGCACCAGAGGTGAGGCTGAATAAACAAACTCTGGGCAGCTTTCCAAATCGGCTTGCCTGAGGCCTTCATGAAACACTACAAAGTTCATATTTTCTGCAAATAACCCATGTTTTTTCTCCACGGGACAATATAAATGTTTGATAGAGTTTATACAACAGGTGTATTCACCTTTATGGAGAAACTGATAGGATGGACATAAATACATAAAATAATTAATGAAATCAAGTATGAAAGATTAACCTGAAATAAGTAAAAGAAAATCTTGTTCAGACTCCAAAATACATGAATACATTTTAACCTGTTTTTAAATTAGTGTTTGATTAAATCAGATGATATTTTTCTGTGTTTATTTTTATTTTTAGTCTAAATTTATCGTTTGATTTAAATTTTTCTATTGCATTTGTTTTTCTTATTTGAGGACCTTTTTAAACAACATTAAACATTTTGGAGCGGTTTTTTTTGGCTGCTGCTGACGTATTTTAACAAATCAGTAAGCGCTTTTTAAAAATCCTCCCCACTGAGATCCCTCACATTAGTGTGAGGAGAGAAGACAGGAAACCTGTTCTAACAGGTTCAGTCTACGTCTTTACAGCACTGCTTTCCAAAGCCCCGTCTCCGTTGAGCTGAGTCTATACCTGCAGCTTTACATCAATACTGCACCTTGAATACTCTATCAGTGACTCATATACACTTTGTCCTAACCCACGTACCAGCCAACAAATGTAAAAGGACATTAAAGGGTTTACTAGAAGTCAAAACACAGTGGGTGTGACACTGACTCCATGCAGCAGTTGTGAGTCTCCAGTGATGCCTTTTCCTGGCAGATATGCAGTTTAACCATCAGCTGTAGGGAGTTTTAATCATTAGAATTAAAGGATCTAAGCCATCATATATGGTTTTAAATAAAGACTTTAGGTCATGTACAAGGAATGTTTATGACCTAAACACTTTCTATCCTTTCATCAACATGACATTAATCAGAGATGATACTCCTAATATGCTCAAACCTTCCATTTGCAAGGTGCAGCCAATCAGAAGAGAAGTTGAAATAACTTGATTCAGACAGGGGATGAACAAAGGAGCAGCACCGAGGCTTAGCACAAAATAAATATGGATTATTTTTAACTGAATCATGCAAAGCTACACATACAAGGAGTAGTTGATGCGTCAGCTCAACAACAGTCTAGAGAATCATCTGTACTGTGACTGATACTTGCACCTGACATTTACTGTGCTTGTTGTGTCTTTTTAACTACATTTATTAAACTATGCCTAATATATGTTTCCTTATTCAATTTATATAACTATTTTGATTTTTTAACTTTGTTACTCTAGTGTTTCTTTCACTTTGGTTCATTCCATTTATAAATTTATTCTGACAAAGGCTGCATTCAGTTTTTCTTCTGGTATAAACATAATACTTTAAGTACACAAGGACAAGTTAGAATACCTCTAAGTAAAAAAAAAAAAGTTAGGTATGTAAGCACAGAAAAAAAAAACGAGGCAGGTGTCTTGTTGTGATAGGGTGAGGTGCTCATCCTGTCAGGACTGCCTCTGAGCAGAGTTGGTTTTGGGTGCTCAATTAGCCTGCACGCCTCCTAGATGTTTTGGGCATGTCCAAGTGGAGCAGACTGAGGACACGCTCTGCAGAATACATCAGCTGAGTTGGGGAATCCTTCGAAACGCTGGAGTGTGTGGCGGGGAGAAGGAGTTCTGGGGAGGCTCAGACTCAGCTAATGGTGGAAAACTAATAAACAAAATAAAGAATGAACAATTGTTCACAGGTCTGGGTGTGAGTCCACACACATCAGGGTGGATATTAACTGTCAGTGTTCCCGCCCTGGCGCCACTTATTGTTTCCAAGTTGTGGTTTAACAGAGCACAAAAAAATGTTGTCTGACTGGTTTGCTTTTGTGCTCCTATTTAGACACCCGATCAGAAGAGATTGCAGCTGATAACAGCTGCAACAAAGCAAGCAACCTCAATCCTGATGATGTTTTGGTGAAAACTGGGAGAAGGTCAGGGGTTCGAATCCACTGAACGCCTACCCTGAGGCACCCCTGATCAACGTACCGTCCCTACACACTGCTCTCCAGGCGCTGCATTGGTGGCTGCCCACTGCCTCACTGTGTGAATGGGTTAAATGCATTTTTCCACCCAGCAGTGGTGGAAAAATGTTGGGGGTGTTTACCATCTTACTTCACTCATGCTGGTGTTTTTGACTTCTAGGGGAACCATCATTTGCTTTTTTTGTCTCTGTGCCTCTTAGCCAGAGGCCTAATCAGTTTCTTACAGTAATCACTGAGTAATCAGTTACATGTTGGACTGCAACATTACAGCAGTACAAGTCTTTGGTGACATTAATGCCTCTGCTACAGTCAAACATCTCTCTTATGTCTGATACTGAGATTCATGGTCACCAGAGAGTTATCTTAGTAAAACTATAATAGCATTTTATTTTAAAGGTGCACTGATGTTTAGCAGCTTACTTTTGTCCTTTATTAGACAACGAATATTGTTTTTAAATGACTTGTTTTCTCATTAGATGCAACTATATGTGAGATCTGGTTAAATAAAGAGATGTTTGAAGCGAGATGAAACTTGTTTCAGGACCGAAGACTGCACTGATGCCCCGTATAAGATAAATAGGGATTATTTTGAACTGTGAACATGCATTAAAAAAAAAAAACTTATCTACCAGAGAGATAAAAAAATTATGTTCAGGGATATGAAAATAATGTTTGGTAATTCTAACCCTGAACTTGAACAAATAAGCCTCATAAGACAAGGCTAATACATCATAGGCGTGATCCAGGTCTGACATCATGTTTCATCTATTTTTTTTTTCATAACAGCTGTTATTTGGGATCTTAAACCCTAAATCCACACAATGACATAGGTTTTCTTGGTTTATCGCATATTAAATAGCTGCTTTTCTTTCTGTCCCTAGCTGTGAAATGGTGTGGGACACAACAAAAATACAAAAATAAACAATAAACATACATCCAGCAGCTTACTAGAAGCTTCAGGTTTCACTAGTTTCACTCATCTTTTAGCCTGACATTAGTAAATGTCAGTAATCTAAATTAAAAAAATAAGAATGTGAGCTCTTCTGCAGCTAAAAAGACGTTCCAGGAGAAGCAGACTAATCTAAATGACTCCACCATCATTTTCTAAATGAAAGAACCAGGTTACTTTATTGTCGATATGTAAAACCACTGTGAGGACAAACACACCGAGAAGTTGTTCCTCACCTGCAGGAGGAGAAGAATCTGCTGCTGCTGAGAGGAGGGCCGTAAACCAGATGTATTTTTCGAAAGCAAGTAAAACTTTCTTTACTTCCCAATCTAGACTTTATGTTCTTCCTTCAGCCCTAGGGGCAAATTACTCTACAGAGAGTGAACACAGACAATATGATTGGTCGAAAGCCAGCCAATAGAAGGACTAGACAGTGGGACAAAAAAAAGGCTAAACAAGTTTCCCTGCCTTGTAATGATTTCCTGCTAAATATAGAAAAACACGTTCTGTGCTCTGATGTTAGAAACTATCTCTAACAACAACTTTTATTTGTATTATTTATTAAAACAAATAAAAAAGTGTGTTTTATTGAGAGAGAGAGGATGTTTGTCAGGATACAGTGACACATGACACACACTGAGGAAATGGTTTACCCCACAGTGGCACCCAAATACATTAGACCTGTCTGAGGCTGGCTGAGCTTTGCACATAACTGAAAGCTGCAGCTTTCAAGTAAATGAACCAACCATTGCATCTGCAGAGGGATTTTTACAAGTCTTAGAACAAATGTTCGTAACATGTCTGTTTAATTGGGAGAAAATTAAATTACTTGCTGAGCAAATCTGAATTAATATTTATGTGAGTGGTAATTTCAAAGTTTAAAACACACTATGAAATAAATCCAGAGATAAATAACTTAGGGAAATGTAACAAATATTATGTATGTATTTAAAATACTTTAATGTTGAATTAAATAAATGAAAACAGTTTTATTTCAAAACAACTTTCTTTAAAAAACTGCATTTATTACAGGTTTATTCCTTAGTTGTTCTGGGTCTTCTTTCACTTCAGTCTCTTGCAAATCTTTGCATCTTGCAAATGCAAATTAATTGGCTGTGGTTACTGATAACTAACTACCTCACAGTACATTTGTGTGGTCAGTTTATCAAGACAAAGCCTACTTATAAAATTTGTACTACTTTTTATTTCTGCAATCAAGTCAATGTCTGGTACTCTGCTGAGATATTATGGGACTGTTTATCAAACAGTTTGCACCAATCATGTGTGGTTCTCCCTCTGGCTGCATGGATTTTTATTGGGTACTCTGGCTTACTTCCTTCCTCCCTAAGAAATTCATTCTAAATTAGCCATGTGAATGTGACTGTGAGTGGTTATCTGCCTCTTTGTGTTGGCCCTGTGATTACAACCAAGCCAGAGCATACCCTGCCTCTTTTCCCACAATCCTGAATTTGATAAATAAATGTAATCAAATCTATGGATTTGTATATTTGTATTTTTACTGCTCTGTGTAAGTTCACACTGAGATATTTATAATTCCTGCTGGACTCCTTTGCTTTTTTTCTTTACCTGACTTTGACATTTGTTTTTCTTGCACTTTTACCTTAATTTCCTACATCTTGGCCTCTTTCATGAGCCACAGTTTGATCCACCTCTATTTAACATTGTTCATTAAAAGCTTTCATTAAAAAACAAAAAAACAAAAACAGTTATGTATTCATAATAGCAGAAGGAGTCATTGTACTTTGGAAGCCTTTAAAAGGATTGTCATGGAAAAACAAGACGAAACATGGTAACGACAAGGTAAAGGAATCAGGTTTGAATTCGCAAGACAGAGCTCATCCTATTACTCTACCATGACATATTTGCTTACATTATGTGGCAGTCTCCAAGCAGTGTGACAGGCTCCTTTAAGTGAAACACACCGATGGGTAGGCGAAGCTCCACCTCTAACCGCAGGACAAAAAAACACAGGAAATTCATTTCTCTCAGTTATTGTTCACTGGAAGAGAGGCTCCAACTGAGAGAAAAGGGGAAATAATTCTTCACAGCAGAAGTAAACGTAACACAGCATCGTAATCCTGCATTTCAACCTGCTTTTGACTGAAGAAAAACAAGCAAAGAGAAAGTGAAGGTGAACTTCCTCCTTTCATGCTCTGTGCTGTAGCTTTTTACTTTCTCCTGAGAACGAGAAAATGGCTTATAATCCAGAGAAGGACCTGTCCTGTCCTGTCTGCCACGACATCTTTGATATTCCTGTCGTCCTGGCATGCAGCCACAGCTTCTGTAAAACCTGTGTGGAGACCTGGTGGAGAGACAAACCCATAAAAGAGTGTCCGGTTTGTAAGGAAAGACCTTTGCTGGGTGAGCCACCGGTTAGTTCAACCTTAAAGAACCTGTGTGAGGCCTTCTTACAAAAGAAAGATCAAAATGCTTCTGCATTCTCTGAAACTGTTTGCAGTCTGCACCATGAGAAACTGAGAGTCTTCTGTTTGAATCATCAGCAGCCAGCGTGCCTCGTCTGTCGAGATTCAAAAATACATCTCGGCCACAGCTTCAGACCCATTAACGAAGCTGCAGAAGATCATAGAAAGGATCTCAAGGAATCCTTGAAACCTTTACAGGAGAAACTGAAAGTGTTTGAAGAAGTTAAAGAAAAGTTTGATGAAACAGCAGAATACATTAGGGTCCAGGCCCAGCAGGCAGAGAAAGAAATTAAGGATGAGTTTAAGAAGTTGCATCAGTTTCTACAAGATGAAGAGGATGCCAGAATCACTGCTTTGAGGGAGGAAGAGAAGCAGAAGAGTCAAATGATGAAGGGGAAGATTGAAGGTCTGAGCAGAGAGATAGCAGCTCTTTCAGAAATAATCAGAGCCACGGAAGAGGAGCTGAGAGCTGAAGATGTCTCGTTCCTGCAGAACTACAAGGCTGCAGTGGAATTAATCCAGCAGTGCCCTCTGTTGGATGATCCAGAGCTGGTGTCAGAAGCTCTGATAAATGTGGCCAAACACCTGGGCAACCTGACCTACAACATCTGGAACGAGATGAAGGCGATAGTCTCCTACTTTCCTGTGATTCTGGATCCAAACACAGCTCATCCAGAGCTCATCCTATCAGAAGATCTGACTGCCGTAAGATCTGTAGAGAGGCAGCAGCTTCCTGACAATCCGGAGAGGTTTGACTGCTATTGCATTGTCCTGGGCTCTGAGGGCTTTGACTCAGGCACCCATAGCTGGGATGTTGAGGTTAGAGACTCTACAGGCTGGGTCTTGGGTGTAGCAGCAGAGTCTGTACAAAGAAAGAGTGAAATAAAATCTGGACTTTGGCGGATAATGGGGCTAACTGAAGATAAATATGCAGCATGCTCCCCATCACAACACACCTTTATTCACCCACTGAAGGAGTTCCAGCGGATCAGAGTTCATCTGAACTGGGACGAAGGAAAGCTGTCATTCTCTGATCTCGACACTGACACACACATACACACCTTCATACACACTTTCACGGAGAAGCTGTTTCCATACTTCATCAATAAGAAAGAACACCAGCTAAAAATACTTCCGCTGAAGGTTTCTGCAACAGTAAAACTGCTTAATCAATGAAAATGATGGAATTATCAAATCATTTTATTTTATTTATTCAAAGATCCTTGTACTGTTTTCTTTGTTCTTGAGTTCTGATGAAGCTAATATTGAAAGCATGCTAATGTTACTTAAACGACACATGCTTAAGATTTTGTTTGAATAGGTCAGATCATTTTGTATGGTATGTTAGGCTGGGAAAGAAAAAAAGTCTGAGTTGAATATGATGTCAATTACTATAATGGACATTTCACAATAAAATTCACATCATGTAAATGTATTTCTTTCAGTAATATTGTATCCAATGTAGGCTAATGTAAGCGACTAGCTTATTTGGATTTTGGTATGTATGCCTTCTGGTCCACTAGCATTTTAGATAGCAGCTAAATTGTGACGTGCATGTCTGGTAGCATTGGCAATTTTTAAAACAAAAAGTTGTGCTATAGCAAATGCTTTTGTTTTGTTTTTGTTGTAAAATCAAAGGATTTTTCATTATAACATTTTTTCAATATTTGTTTGTGTTGTTAGTTTTACAGTGGCTCAATATTCATTTGATACAATAAAGGGATGGCGTCTCATTTGCACCACAAAAATCTGTGTTGGCTAATACTGAATATACTGATCATGTATTAGTCTGCTGATGTTTTAAACACTTTGTGGTTCAAGTAGCTTTCAATTGTCCATCTATCCGTTTTCTTCCACTTATCCAGGTCAGAGTGGTGTTGTGGTGGGGTGTATGTCAGGCTCCACCACAACACCACTCAGCCAATGCTATACACTAAGTATGTAGCATTAGCTTATGAGTTTGCACCCTCTACGGTTCTCTGTTCTGTAATTTCCATTTATGTATTTATTCTATGGTGTGTGTTTCTTATAATCTCTCATGCATACTGTATGTCTTGACAAGTGTGTGTATGTGGTGGGGCTGATGTTACATACTTACATAAATATTGTCATGAATAGCAGTTTGAAGACAAACCAGACTTGTGGTTGTGGCAGGAACATTTCTTATATCTCATGTTATATCATTATAAGCAACACAAGCTTCTTTGCTAAAGCAATGGTAGCAAGTTTAACTGTAAATAAATATCTGTACCTGTTTTAAGGAGCTTTGTGGTGTTTTTTTAAATTAATTAATTTTTTTTTTAACAACCAATAGTTTTCCATTCATAGGCTTTTCTTTTATTCAACTTTTGAAGAATCTGTGCATTCCAGTGATAAAATATCCAAACAGAAAATCCAAGAAGGTGAAGTAAAATTCGGGCAGAAGAGATTACTTCTTATTCTTTGGACTGCTCTTTTTAGGGATCCTCACAGCAGATCATCTAATCCTGTCTCTAGCACCCTCTTCTGTCACACCACTGCTGCTGACAGTTTCAATTTCTAGTTTTTCCAATTCAATTTTTATTGACAGACTTTATGTCCATAGTCCAAAAAAAAA